CGAGTTACCCAGGATAATTCGGGCGTCCAGAGCCCCACATCATCAGGGGTAACTCGGGTCAGGGCTAACTCGGGTTTGTTTTTCGGGAATCCGAGCCCGACTTACCCCGGGCCCGAGTTACCCGGGATAATTCGGGCGTCCAGAGCCCCACATCATCAGGGGTAACTCGGGTCAGGGCTAACTCGGGTTCCTTTTTCGGGAATCCGAGCCCGACTTACCCCGGACCCGAGGTACCCCGGATAACTCGGGCGTCCAGAGCCCCACATCATCAGGGGTAACTCGGGTCAGGGCTAACTCGGGTTCCTTTTTCGGGAATCCGAACCCGACTTACCCCGGACCCGAGGTACCCCGCATAACTCGGGCGTCCAGAGCCCCACATCATCAGGGGTAACTCGGGTCAGGGCTAATTCGGGTTCCTTTTTCGGGAATCCGAACCCGACTTACCCCGGACCCGAGTTACCCCGGATAACTCGGGCGTCCAGAGCCCCACATCATCAGGGGTAACTCGGGTCAGGGCTAACTCGGGTTCCTTTTTCGGGAATCCGAGCCCGACATACCCCGGACCCGAGTTCCCCGGGATAACTCGGGCGTCCAGAGCCCCACATCATCAGGGGTAACTCGGGTCAGGGCTAACTCGGGTTCGTTTTTCGGGAATCCGAGCCCGACTTACCCCGGACCCGAGTTACCCCGGATAACTCGGGCGTCCAGAGCCCCACATCATCAGGGGTAACTCGGGTCAGGGCTAACTCGGGTTCCTTTTTCGGGAATCCGAGCCCGACTTACCCATCGCCCCCGTGACTCATCCCTCAACCCCCCAACCCCCCGGCCGGATTTCTTTTCTTCTTTCCGCGGGGGGTCAACCCTCGCGGCGACCCGTTAAACCCGGGACCCCTGGCGGCGCATGGATTTCTTTCCTTCTTCCCCGCGCGCGTTGCCGTTGGAACCCCTGAACGCCTCCGACTACCGTACAACTCGTACTTGAGTACAACTGGTACTATCATGTCCTATCGCGCAGTTGTTCCTAGAGAGCACGGGATTCCAATATATTGGGTTTCCAATATACTGGGTTTCCAATATAATGGGTTTCAAATATATTGGGTTTCCAATGTATTAGGTTTCCAACATATTGGGTTTCCAATGTATTGGGTTCCTAATATATTGGGTTCCCAATATTTTGGGTTTCCAATATATCGGGTTTCTAATATTGGGTTTCGAATATATTGGGTTTCCAATATAGTGGGTTTCCAATATATTGAGTTTCCAAATATTGCGTTTCCAATATACTGGGTTCCCAATATATAAGCCCGAACCCGAACCCAAACCTCACCGGCTGTAATTCAGTTGTTCCCGTACTAATACAAATCCCTAGTGCAACCGCGATTAAGGTGTTGTTGCATTGCACTTACAGTCTCGGCTCTCACGCTTTTCTTCCTCTGGTTGCGCTTGGGGGGTGGGACCCCTCGCGCGGGCACCCCCGCGGCTGGGAGTTCATTCCTCTTCCGGAATTTGAGGGGGGGGTAACCCCCGTGCTCGAACCCCATCGCCAGGGTTTTTTTCTTTCCTCCGCGGAAACCGGACCCCCTGGGTTCTTCGGCGCGCCCCATTTTTTTTTCTTTCCGGTTGGGCCTCCATGGGTCTTAGGTTGGAGTCACCCGGGTGATACTTACCCCGGACCCGAGGTACCCCGGATAACTCGGGCGTCCAGAGCCCCACATCATCAGGGGTAACTCGGGTCAGGGCTAATTCGGGTTCGTTTTTCGGGAATCCGAACCCGACTTACCCGGACCCGAGTTACCCCGGATAACTCGGGCGTCCAGAGCCCCACATCATCAGGGGTAACTCGGGTCAGGGCTAACTCGGGTTCGTTTTTCGGGAATCCGAGCCCGACTTACCCCGGACCCGAGTTACCCCGGATAACTCGGGCGTCCAGAGCCCCACATCATCAGGGGTAATTCGGGTCAGGGCTAACTCGGGTTCGTTTTTCGGGAATCCGAACCCGACTTACCCCGGACCCGAGGTACCCCGGATAACTCGGGCGTCCAGAGCCCCACATCATCAGGGGTAACTCGGGTCAGGGCTAACTCGGGTTCGTTTTTCGGGAATCCGAACCCGACTTACCCCGGACCCGAGGTACCCCGGATAATCCGGGCGTCCAGAGCCCCACATCATCAGGGGTAACTCGGGTCAGGGCTAACTCGGGTTCCTTTTTCGGGAATCCAAGCCCGAGTTACCCTGGACCCGAGTTACCTCGGATAACTCGGGCGCCCAACTGGCGTTAAGTCGGGCGTGTCCCTCTGCAGGAGGAGCATTCAGAAATAGTAAAAAGAATAGTCCGGGGGCCATTTTCTGACTCTCTTCAGGCATTTTGGGAGCACTTTCTGTGGTATCTTTAGTTGTTGCGGCAGAGCCGTAGACACGCTAGCGGTGATTCAGGAGGGAGAAAGACGCACAGACACAATTCATCGTCGATTCTCCAGAAAATTTGGGAAAATGTGGGAAGGGGGGGGAAGACAGCAGCCCAGAAAATGCGGGGAAATATGGGGGATCCTGTTGTTTGTGTGCATCTGTTTGTGTGTCCCCAGGGCCCCTTCAAGTGTTTACAGAACCGTAGACACGGTAGCGGTGATGTAGGCAACGGCGATGTGCAGTGGGGGCGCGGATCAAGAAGCCATTTGTTTTTCGTCAGGGTACCCAGGCTTTCTTCGCTCCGCGCGCTGCGTGGGGGCTTCCCGTGGCCGTTGAAGGAGCTGCGGCATTCAGGGTGCTCCGGGCTCCCCCCACTTGAATCTCGCGCCTGAGGGTTCCAGGGCTGGGTTTCTTGCGAGGGTTTCTTGCGGCCGCGCCCGCACTGCAGGTTTCGGTATTGTGGCAACGCGTGGCTCGTGTTTTCTTATCATTCGCTGTGTCGTTTCCGTGCGATGCAGTTGCAGATCGGAGATGCAGGAAAGGGTGGGTCGTGATTTCCTACAAGTTGGTTCCCAGCATCACCGTGAAGCAACATCGCCCGTTAGCGTGGCCTGGGTATGTAGACGAAGAAATCGCTATGAACATAAACTGTTGGCGTTCCGCGCGGATTTCTTGGATCTGCGCTGGACCCCCGTCCCTGGCGCGCGGAGCGCGCTAGAGGCGGCGCCGGAGGCGCCGCCAGGGGGGCCCAGCGCGGATCCAAGAAATCCGCGCGGAGCGCTCAAAGTTCATTATTATGGCGTTTTTTCCTTCTTCGAGTTTACGCATGTGTTTCTGCTGCACCGAGGTGGAGGACCTGCTCCGCAGAACGGGCACCACGGTCAATTTCCAGTTCTTCTACGAGTTGAGCATCCGCACGGACGGGGTGTCGCTGTCCACCAACCCTCAGGGCAGCTGGCTGGCCAGGGAGTCAGGTCAGGGGCAGCGTTGCAGTGGAAGCCCATGCCAAGAAAACACCCTGCTTGCCTTCAGGGTGCCCCGGGCTTCCTGTGCTTCCATGGTCTTGCGATGGATGGCGTGCCTTTCCCGCACCAGAAATCCATCGACGTCCTGGGGTCTCAGGGTTAGAGGTTTCTTGTGGAAGGTTTCTCGTGGTCGGGCTCCTGCTGTACAGTCGGGGCGCTGAAGAAGGAACCCTTTTCGTTGGGGAGGGGCTCCGTGTTCCTAAATTGTTTCGCAGCTTGCCCTAGGTTGTCCTTAGGTTTTCGATCTGAAATCGAAGTTCAACTTATGAAAAATAGGGGCCTCGTTCCTTATTTGGGGTTCCCTAGGTCAACGCCCCGACTGCCGGGGGGGATGAGCTCAGGGGCGGATGCGTCGACCCCCCACTGGCCCGTGCATCGCCCATAGGGGCCCGACAGCCCACCGTGCCCAGGCTCGTGCGGCTTCGCTTGCGGGGGCCTACCGTCAACGCGCCCAGTTAAGGACGCGCGCCTTCATCTATAGGATACCCTTGCGTCCTTGCCTCTGTGGCCCGTCCTTTGCCGTTTTCACTGGTCGCCGCCGCCTCAACAAAAACCCACTTTCGGCCTCCAAGGGTCTTGCGTCCTTGCCACGCGTCCTTAAGATGCGTTTTGACTGTACCGCCGATCCATCGGCGATGCATCGCCGATGTCAGGTCGAGGTTCACTGCCCCCTCTGAGCTGGTCTCCCCCAGCGTTGCCCCTCATCAGGGGGTTTTGGCTCGGACACGCAGACATTCAACCAGACGGCACAGATCATCCTGTCCCTGGACAGCTACATGGATACCTTCGCGCAGTTCAACGTGAGCATGCCGCAGGCATTCTACCCGTTGATGCAGGAGGACTCTTACGGCGAGGTCGTCTAAAAGTGACGGCAATGCACTGGCACTCTAGCTGGCCAGGCTTGCCGGGGCACAGTTTTTGGTGTACAGATCCCTTCTGCCCAGATCAGGCGGATCTGTGCGTCAGCTCGGTGCCCAGGAGAGGACATGCCGGTGTGTAGTCTGCAGTTCCCCAGGTCAAGACGCTGCAGCCTCCGCAGGACGTGACTCTCGAATTCGAGCGGCCCTCTAACGATGACCAATCAGCCGTAGCCGAGTTGCCCTATTGGTCGCTCAGGGTGGACGGATCCAAGCCCATGTTCGAGGTGGATTACGAGAAAACGACGCCGCCTCTCTTGGGTTCACCTGGGTCTTTGACAATTATCGGCATCTACGCCACGGTCATCTACACCATAGGACGAATCCTGCGCCTGTACTTCCAAGATCGTTCGAAGTTTGTGCTCTACGAGGAGCTCCCTGACACCCAGCTGCTGCTGGACCTGTGCAACGGCATCTACATCGCCCGCATTCAGGGGCAGCTCGTGGCCGAGTACCACCTGTACTACGAGCTCATCCGCATCCTCCGCAGCCCGGAGCTCCTGCTCGAGGTCTCGCAGCGCAGCCGCGCGACCCAGCTGGCCCGGCGAGGCACAGATCTCGACGGCGGCACCTTGGGCGGCCACGGCACGGGCAGGTTCAGTAGGGGAAGCAAAAGCACAAACACACGCACGCACGCACGCACGCACGCACGCACGCACGCACACACACACACACACACACACACACACACACACGCGCGCACGCACGCACGCACGCACGCACGGCACGCACGCACGCACACACCCACACCCACACCCACACCCACACCCACCCCACACTCACACCCCACCCACCCACACCACACCACACCCCACCCACACCCACACCCACACCCCCACCCCCCCAAACCCCCCCCCAACCCCACACCACACCTCGTCACGCACGCCACGCACGCACGCACGGCACGCACGTCACGCACGGCACGCACAGCACGCACGCACGCACGCACGCACGCACGCACGCACCACGCACGCACGCACGCACCCACACACACACACACACACGCACACACGCACGCACGCACGCACGCACGCACGCACGCACGCACGCACGCACGCACGCACGCACGGCACGCACGCACGCACGCACGCACACACGCACGCACGCACGCACGCACGCACGCACGCACGCACGCACGCACACACAACACACACACACACACACACACACACACACACACACACACACGCGCACGCACGCACGCACGCACGCACACGCACCCACGCACCCACGCACACACGCACACACGCACACACATACACACACACACACACACACGCGCGCACAGACACAATGGATCGTCGACTCCCAGGAAGACATGGGGAACTATGGAAGTGGGGGGGGAAGACGAATACCTTGAAAATGCGAGAGAACAGGAAGGAACCTTGGGCCTTGAGTCTATCTATTGGTGTGTCCCTGGGGCCCCCCTTTGGTAT